ATCGTGCCGCAGCATTTTGCACTAGGTGCAAGCGTGATAAAGTGCCCTGCCCAACCCCTATTAAAAGAGAATTGCAATAATCTAAATGTGAAAAAATAAAGGCGTGAATAACACTTTTCAAGTCACGCTTGGAAAGAAAGGGCTTAACCTTTGATAAACGTCTGAGGTGATAGAATGCTGATTTTACCACCCCGTTTACCTGACCAAAGGTAAGTGCAGAATCAATTTTTACTCCGAGATTTGTGATCGAACTCTTTAAATGGGAAGTCAAAGCGGCAAGATCAACATCTGGAGCGTGAGAAAAATGATTTGGGCCAAATAAGATCGCTTCCGTCTTCCGATCATTAAAATTTAAAACGTTTTTGGCCATCCATGCTTTAACATTACTAAGGCAGTCAAGCAGAGGTCAACTTGGGAAACTATCAGAATGACTAAAAGGTAAATAAAACTGGCAGTCATCTGCGTATAGATGGAATGACACTTTATGTTTTCGGAAAATCGCGCCAAGAGGCAAAAGGTACAGTGAAAACAATAACGGCCCAAGAATAGATCCCTGTGGAACACCCCAAAGCAGAGGGGATTAAGCCAACCCCAACTTAACACAAAGTCCCGTTTGAGAGATTTTAACCACAAAAGTGCCAAACCAGAAATTCCCACCCAGTGCTGTAAGCGGGAGATCATTCAAGTAGTCCATCAACTGAGTATAAACAATCCTTTCCAGAATCTTACTAAGAAAGGGAAGCTTAGAGATAGGTCTGAATTTTGATATGACTGAACTGTCTAAGCCTGGTTTCTTAAGTAAAGGATGTATGAGTGGATGCTTAAACTCCCTAGGTACTTGACCAGACAAAAGACTAGTCTCCAAAAGTTGATTCTGTTCATCTGAACGTAGCGTTTTGTAGCTACGTCCAGAAGAACAGAATCAACTTTTGGAGATTTGCTTTCCTGGATGATTGACAATGCACCAGGACAAAAGACTAGTATTAATAATGTTCAGAATGTGTGGTCCGATGGTAGGAAATCCCTTTTTGAGAAAACGGGGAGGAACAACATCATTTGGAGAGCCACACAGTTGAGCATTCAGCACAAGTTTCTCTAAATCAGGTAAAAGAATTGGTAGAATAGCAGAGAACAAACCTGAGCAAGAACCATGCATGGCTGGGTCAGCAATAGATAGAGTCAGAGGTCTCAAACTAGCAATCTTGTCCACAAAATAATTAAGAAACTTATTGCACATAACCTCAGAAGAGTGCAAAAGAACATAGCCTTCTGTATTAAGAACAGAATTTCTAGATTTATATAGAACACGAGGGTTATGCAAGCTGGCAGCAATAAGTTGGGAAAAATAGGAGTACTTGGCAGCCTTTACTGCTTTCTGATAGACTTTCCAGCTAGTCTTAAGAGCTTTCTCTTTTTTCCACCGTCTTTCACATCTTCTACATTCTTTTCTAGCGGCTCTGGTAAAATCAGTTAGCCAAGGAGCCTACGTCGAGGACAGATTTACAAGCAGAGTCCAAATAAGAAAATAGAAAAAAAGAATAAGAAAAAAAGAAAAGCAGCTCTTTACACCGGACCCAGGAGGGAAGGCAGCTTTACTTTGATAAAGTCAGCCAGGTCATTTCATCGTCTTCAATATTGATTAGGCAGAAAGTTTCTGATCAGATTTAGCACTTCAACATTTAGTCTATAAATCTTAAAAGAAATTGTCCATAACCACAGCTTCTAATTCATTTGGTTTCTGAGTTCCAAAGACCCAGAAAACTGAAATATTAAATAATAAATAAATAATTTAATATAGAATAATATAACATTATAACATAACTTTTTTTTTGCTATTACTAATATCTAATTTTCCTTTAAAAGAAAATAAACCTGAAGAAGATAAAAAAAGATATATTGATTACTGTCCTGATTGATTGATTGGCTGGTTATCTCCGTTCCCTGAGCTCACTCTGAGTCTGGAGGTTGGTGTTAGCATCTTACCTTTGCAGGTGTCTGACCGTGCAAAAGGTTCACTGTCACAGTCTGACCTAACATCAGTAATCTGAGCTTTATCAAAGTATCAGTAATCTGAGTACACACTGGTGTAATCAGTAATCTGAATACACACTGGTGTAATCAGTGAATGCTGTGAACATGGCGTTCTGTAGTTCTTGACGGTTGTCATTTGTAGTTTTTGCCATGTTGTGGAAAACTACCTGGTGATGTCAGCGACTGGGTGCACTGGCTCCAAGTTAGATTTAAATGTCAGCCCAAAAAATGATGGGATGGAAACCATGACGACCACACAAACACACACACAGGTTTGATCAGAGGGGAATGGGAGGATTTTATGTGATAGCGTTCACTCTTCCCTCGGGGATTATGGGTAATGGGATCCACCTCAATGCCCCCCCCCTTCCCATGACCCCCAACCCACATTGTTGCCGTAGCGATGTCGCTGTGTGAGTGTGTGTGTTTCCTGCAGACAGAGCATTTAAGTCGACATCTCTCTTTCAGAGCAACAATCGAGGTGCAGAAACTCACAAGTGCCTCTATTGTGTTCAGCTAAAAGCCTGCAGTGTGTGTGTATGTGTGTGTGTGTGTGTGGTCGATTGCGGCTGCACAGAAAACTTCTTTCCTGTTATTGTGCCCCACACACACACACACACACACACACACACAACCACACACACACACAACACACACACCCACAACACACACACACACACAAACCACAAATGACAACAAGACGGAAAGGTATTGTTCACCAGCTGCAGAAAATACCTGAAAACACACAAACACACACACACACACACACACACACACATACACACACTTATACACAACAGACACACACACAACCACACACACACACACACACAGGGGTTTGTCAGGAGAAATTGCTCTTTCCTGCTCTCATCTATCATTCCCCCTCTGAGTGGATCGCTGTCTGTCATCTTGAAATAAAGCACTTAGATTGGCCACTAGAAAGACTGTGTGTGTGTTTGTGTGTGTGCCCGCGCGTGCGTGTATGTGTGTGTGCATGTGAATGCGTGTGTGTGAGCGCGCTCAATTCGAAGCCTCCTTTAATCTCCCTCTCTGTGTCTCAGAGGGAGCTCGGGTTTTTTCCAGTGTTGGTTAAAGTCTCTGCTGGAGGCTCAGAGGGGGGAGGGGGGGGGGCTCTGTGTGGCTCTGAGGAGCCCAGACTGGACGGGCTGTAATGGTTCCCAGATGGTTCCATCTGTGTTCATGCTGTGTGTTAATAAAGTTTGAGTTGAAGTCTGTTTCCGTCCTCAGTGAGGCGTCAGGGTGGAGTCTGCAGTGCTGGATACCCATTGGTCCACTCCTCAGGCTTCTATCCAGCTGGATGTTGGTGATGCTGCAAGGTTCGGGTTTAATTAACAGCCACTGGTTTTATATGTTTCTGCCTGTTTGGAGACACATGTGATAAACAGGAAACATGCAGGGTGAATGGGAAACACAATCCCTGCTAATCATCTGTTTCTGTTTCCATGTTTGTGTGGAGTGCTGAATTATCAGCTGATCATCATATTGTAGGGGAGCATCACACAGGCACAGATACCTGCTGATAAAATCCCAGAATTTCACTCATTAACGGGGAAATGAAACTCTTTACACATAAAGGCTAATATACCTCACTGAGCCTGGACCTAAGTCTGTCTGTGATGTCGGGCCGTGTTCAGCGCCATCTTCTGTCAGTATGGGATGTGACGTCATGTGATTGGTTGGTTGGTGCTAACAGACTCGCATTACTTTATGTTAGCTAACTACTGACAGGATGGATACCTCAGAGGAAATTAAGGGCACTTAAACTAAACATGAGTGTGAGGGGATCACTTTAGTGGTGCAGCAGTGAGTTCATGTTGAACCAGAACAGACTGTCCACTTTACTATCTGTGTCTGTGGCAGGAAGTGGCTGTTCACTGTTTGGCTAGCTGCACTGAAACGGTAAAATCCAGCTGTTAGCTGTGATGTTGATGTTTGTAAAGCACGTTATAAACGAGGACTGTGGAGGAGGAGGAGAGTCGGTTTGAGTCACCAGACCGACCGGCTGGATTTTTCCTCGTCTGGTCGAATGTGCTGAGCGTCAGCTATTTTATGCAGTGTAATCATCTTTCTTTCAACAGCTCGAAATATTCACACCACAAACATAACTGTTTCTTACCGAAGCACAACTGGGAGTCCTAACATCCATCAGCATGTCCGTAAGAAAACAGATGGACGTGTGTGATGGACAACAAAAAGAAACAAACAGAGGTTTGAGGAAGAGATGGCACACCTTATTTTCCTCACATCGTCTCACTGGCTGGATTACTTCATATTAGAAGTGAGGAAAAGCAAAGCCCAGATATAAGTGAGGCAGACTGTAACGAGGTGTTTTTCCTACGGACATGTAGATGCATGTCAGGATTTGCAGTCGTGCTTTGGTAAGAAGCATAGTTATGTTTGTGATTTGGTGTGCATGCAGTGAGCTGTTCTGTTGCATTTGATTATCAGTCATACAACACGTACACATGCTGCTTCAGTCATTAACACCAACAGGAAGGTCAGCCGATGGAGACGAGGCGTGCCGATAAAAATGCTGAGCGATGAAGAAACTCAGATGGAGGTCACCTGGTCAGGTCCTAGCAACTCTGATTGGCTGAGCACCGACTGACCCCAGAGCAAGGCGCCGGTTTGACGACAGTTGGCAGCAGAGCGGAGCTGAGCCCTTCGCCAGCTCTGTTTTCACTTTACACACATAGAGGATTTTAGAGACGTGACAACGTGACGTTCACACTGCTTCCTTCAGTTTAAGGACAAACACCCGAATCCTCCGTCAAAGAAAACATGTTTACATCCATCAGAAGTTAAGAACAGCAGCAACAGGGCAGGAGCTTCAGTTTACTTTCATCATTGTGGAGACGATAAGAAGGGCTACAGGTGAGCACAGGTGTGTCTCAATTCATTATCCTCATCACGTGTTCCTGTTTGTGTGGTCTCCGTGTTGGTTTCAGATCCGATGAACGGCCCGCGGCGTCTTGAAGTCGTTGACATCCAGTCCAAACAGGTGGCGGTTCGCTGGGAACCATTCGGATACAACGTGACACGCTGCTACAGCTACAACCTGACTGTGCAGTACCGCTACAGACCTGCAGGGGCCCTGAGCAGGTACACACAGGAAGCAAGAGGGAGGGGCCAACAGGTGAAGAGAGGGAGGTCCCAATGGTAGAGATAGTAATGAACCAAATGAAGTGAGAGGGAGGGGCCAATGATTGGCAGAAGAGAGTAATCATACAAAAAGAGAAGGAGGGTCCAGCAGAAATTAGAGATAGAGAGTTGGACCACAGCTGGATGGAGGGCGTGGTGAACAGGTGAAGGTAGGAGGGGCTCTGAGGTGCTAGGAAAGAAGGAAACTGTACTTCTTTAAGTTTCATTTCATCCGAGAAGCTTCTTCAGTTCTAAACCAAATGGTGGAGAGTCCCAGGTATTTAAACCCTAGTGGGGGAGTCCCTTATGAGAGACATTGAACCTGTATTGATCATGTGACTCACCACATGAGCCAAGGTGTGGGTCATTATCAGCTGAGGTGTCAGGTGTTACCAAAGGTCACTCTTTCGAGTATGCCGGTGTCCACATGTTGGACAGACAAGACAGATGGTTTGAGAGACGAGTGAAAGAAGCATCTATGTCCACTGTGAACAGAGGGCGGGGCTTACGACACAACTGTCTGCCATCTACAATCCTTCCCAGATGCCTAAACACCCACTCACATCCTGGGCCGTTGATCTTAATAAGTCACATGATGGAGTGGGGCAAGATCTCACAGTGGGTTCACCTGAAACCTCTGCTGATAATGACCCACGCCTTTTTTCACCCACTGGCTAATGTGATCTCAGCCGGAAAAGGGATGAGTTCCTGCCCCAAGTGGAGGAGTTCAAGTATCTCGGGGTCTTGTTCGCGAGTGATGGGAGAAGGGAGCCGGAGATCGACAGACGGATTGGGGCTGCAGCTGCAGTAATGCGGACGCTGCACCGGTCCATCGTGGTGAAGAGGGAGCTGAGTGTAAAAGCGAAGCTCTCAATTTACCGGTCGATCTACGTCCCTACCCTCACCTATGGCCACGAGCTGTGGGTAGTGACCGAAAGAACGAGATCGCGGATACAAGCGGCGGAAATGAGCTTCCTCCGAAGGGTGGCTGGCCTCTCCCTTAGAGATAGGGTGAGAAGTTCGGCCATCCGGGAGGGGCTCAGAGTAGAGCCGCTGCTGCTCCACATCGAAAGGAGCCAGCTGAGGTGGTTCGGGCATCTGACAAGGATGCCTCCTGGGCGCCTCCTGGGTGAGGTGTTCCAGGCATGTCCCACCAGGACACGCTGGAGAGATTATATCTCTCGGCTGGCCTGGGAACGCCTTGGTATTCCCCCGGACAAGCTGGAGGAGGTGGCTGGGGAGAGGGAGGTCTGGGCCTCTTTGCTTAGGCTGCTGCCCCCGCGACCCGACCCCGGACAAAGCGGATGACGATGGATGGATGGATGGATGGCTAATGTGATGAGTCAAATGATCAGTAGTGGGTCCCTCATAAGGGACAACTTGATAAATAGATGAATACCACTCAACTATTTGGTTTAGAACTGAAGAAGCTTCTCAGATGAAACTTAAAGTCTAGCTGCTTTCTTTCCAAGCACCTGCTGTTTCTCCTGCAGGGAGCCAGCGAAGGAGGAGGTGCGGGAGGAGGAGGTGTATGACACAAGGAGCACCATGCCGACGCACACCGTACGCAACCTTCCACCCTTCACCAACGTCAGCCTGAGACTCATCCTGAGCAACCCCGAAGGACGCAAGGAGAGCGAGGAGCTTCTGGTGCTGACAGACGAGGATGGTAAAACTCTCCCTTGAGTCACAGTGGAATCACAGCAGAGTCACAGTAGAGATATAGTAGAATCAAAGGAGAATCACAGTAGAGTCACAACAGTTTCACAGTAGAAACACAGTAGAGTCTACTGCTTTGTCCTCCGATGGTAACCTATGGTGACATTTTGGTTTCAGTTCCCGGGGCAGTCCCCGTGGACTCGATCCTCGGCAGCAGCTACGAGCAGCAGATCAGCCTGAGCTGGAGGGAACCGCTGCAGACCTACGGCCTGATCCGGCAGTATGAGGTAAATGCATACAACTCCCAGCAGGCTTTGCAGTCTCCCAGTCAGACCCCGTGAGTCATCTGGGCCCCGATGTCTGTCTTCTCCCCAGATATCCTACAAAGCCTTGAGCTCCTTCGACACGGAGTTTGACCTGTCCAATCAGAGTGGCAGGGTGTTGAAACCGGCCAATGAGACAAGCCACATGTTCACCGGCCTCTACCCAGGCTCCACCTACTCCTTCACAATAAGAGCCTCCACTGTTAAAGGCTTTGGGCCCCCTGTTATCACCCAGTTTACCACCAAGATCTCAGGTAGGACTGTCAAACTAAGAGCTCAGATTGTTGTTTTTACTTTAAATGACTGCAATGAAGGAAGACAAGGTGAGCTTATTTTGTGTATCACAGTAGCACAAAGCGTTCACAAGTTTCTGCTGTCTCAACACGGACAGAGAAATATGCTCCGCCTAGATTTTACCACACATGCGTCACATGACCATAACTCTGGAGTAGAGAGAAAATTCAAATGTTTCCTGAAAGATGTCATTTTACAGCCAAAACTACAAAACAAGTTGGGCTGGGTGAGAAAGGGTTAACTCAATAGTGTTTCTCACTGGCTCTTACTGACATTTTGTTTTGAAAAGCCAGTCGTGTGTTTAATCCCACGGAGCTTTCAGTCACAGTGTTCAGGCGGGTGAGAGTAAACAGGCAGACCGGACCTGGGTTTTCCCGACACAAACAGTCGAGCTGGAAGGAATCAGCTGATTCCACTGTGTCCTGTGCGCTCGGGTGTGGTTCTGCTCCTCGCCAGGCCTTTGAGTCATTTCCACTCTTTGCTTCAGTGTGAAGGTAAATCAGGAGGGAATGAGCTGAACATATTGTAACTCCTCCTCCTCTTCAGCTCCTCTGATGCCGGCGTACGATCAGGAGTCTCCTCTGAATCAGACCGACTCCACCGTCACCGTCCTGCTGAAGCCCGCTCAGAGCCGTGGGGCCCCGGTCAGGTAACGTACCTGTTCAAATATTCAGCAGCATCAATCTCCCACTCCATGAACATTTCATGACATTGCTGTTAAAGATTAAAGCGCCGACGTGTACCGCCCTGAAGCAGGAAGTCAGGCGACAAACTGCTCACATCACTAACAGGAAATTAAGACTTGTCCTGAAATTAAAAAACACTCACTGTCTCACACACACACACTCACTGCTGCCCAGAGGGAGGCGGTATCTGCAGTAACAGTCGTCATGTCAACAGCTGAGTGGGTTCTGTCATCGGGCTTTAGCGAGGGATTTGGTTAATTAACAATCAGCGGGCGGGGCTAATCAGAGCCCACTTCTAACACAGAGGATTACCCAGGGATTATCAGTTAATGTGTCAGTCTCACACACACACTACAAACAGACAGGAAGCAGCGTGTGAGACGGCGTCTCAGACAGGAAGGCTCTGCCGCTGATAATGAACACCTGCTTGTCACATGACTACAGGCCAAGAGCAGTGACCTAAAGGTGGAGACACTAAGGTGAGCTGTAATGGAGAGACTGGCAGGTATATTTTCTTAATCTAATGACACCCGGTTACGCCAATCGGAGGTCACTAAAATCAATATTGAATCGGTGTGCAACTTTGCCAAAACAATGTGGGACTCTGTAGTTTTCTCTGGTCCCCTCCCCAAT